GTATTAATTAATTGCAATCTTTCATGGAGCTTTCATATTGATGAACAAAGTGCTTTAATAATTCGTCATTATGTCGATAGAGTTACACTTAAGAATATTTACTATGCATTATTTTCATCTCATCATAGCTAATTTTGTCAAGTTTGTGGTCAAGTTGGAAATTATGACATTAAGGATTTGTTGTCGCCTCAGCGTCAATCCATCAGATTAATAAACTTCCAAACAATTATATCAGATTCATTAAAGTCCTTCAAAACACTTTTCATTCCAACATTTCCAGAAGTAGTAAAGTATGCTAATCTTTTTTTTGTTTTTGACTCATTAAATATAAACATACTAGTTCCTATCAAAAACTTGTTCAAGGAAATTAGACGATTACATTTTTACTTGACCAGAAATATAAACAATGGAATACTAATTGTAACATCCTTTAAAACCATGAAGTATGGTAAACATTCTAATGTTTATCAGTGCATCTGTGAACGGAACAGGAGTCTGGCATGCATTTTGAATGAGTCAAAAATATATCCTAAAATATCTTTACTCCATCTTAAATAATAAAAATTTAAAGAAATTCTAAAAAACTTTTTATTCTAACTTTTAGACATTATTATCCTAACGATTAAAATATTAATTTAATTTATTTTTTGTAATTACTACAATTGTTATCAGTACTTTTTGTTTATTTTTATCTTTTTTTTATAATTAAAAAGCTGCAAATTGATTTCTACCTGTTTTTTTATGTATATTTTATGTGCTTTAGTCAGTGCATTTACGGTCCATGTGTTTCAGTGTGTGTCGTTGCTTATTATTACATATATTATATTAAAAACTGGTGTCACTCATTTAATCAGATTTCTGTATGAGTGATACCATCTTAATAAATCATTAACATATTATTAAAAATAATTTTATGCATGTAACTACTATTATAATATTAGTTATTATTATTACTTTCATCGTAATTATTGTAAACATACTTATTATTACTATTACTATAATTTGTATAGTTTTTTTTTTTTTATCTTATGTTATTATACTATATTAGTATTGTTTTTATTATTGCTATTAGTATTACTATTATTGTTGTTATTATTATTAAAACTATTGCAAAAATGATTTTCGGAAAATAAGTAGCTTGTTGTTGTTATTGTTGTTGTTGTTGTTGTTTATGTTGTTGTTGTTGTTGTTGAATGTGGAGTGTGGATTTCCTCAAGGTACCATTTTAGGACCTCTCTTATTTTTAAAATATATTAATGATCTATCTAAAGCTTCTAACATAACAACAATTATGTTATTATGATAATTCCAACTTATTTTTTTCTCATAATAACATTATAACACTTTTTAACAACATGAAAATTTAACTAGTAAAAGTTTCTGAATAGTTTAAATTAAATAAATTATCATTAAATATTGATAAAACATAATGAATTCTTTACCATTCAAGGGGTAAAAAACACTTGCTATCTAGTAATTTGCCTTTTCTTCATACGGATAATATAATAATTAAAAGATTTTTAGTGACAAAATTTTTATGAAAATTTAACATGGAAAAACTGCATTGCTAACTTGTGCGGTAAAATTTCAAAGAATATGGGTATCTTATACGAACATAAAGCCTTTTTAATAAACGTTCCTTAATTAAATTATATTACTCTTTAATTTATTATCATATTAACTATGCAAATATGCAAAACCTCTTTTATATGAAATAAAAGCTCTCAATATATACAAGCTAAATGTTTTTAATACTTTTTGTTTGATGTATAAATGTAAAAACAACTTATTGCCTGTTTCTTTCCACAACTTGTATTTTCAAAGAGATATAAATAAACATATTTTAAGAAAAAAAATTTAAATAAACAACCATTTTCTCAAATTAATTTTGGAAATTTTTTAATTTTATTTCGAGGACCTTTTTTATGGAATAATATAATTTTAAATACTAAAAAAGACATTTCTGAAAAATCTATCTTTTTAAAAAATTCTTAAAAGTCTAATTTTTTTTCACCTAAATAATACTTATATACATTTAAAACTTTGAGGAATCTAAATTTTTTGTGTGTATGTGTATGTGTAAACTTTTATTTTTACTTTTTTACTGGAAGGTTATTGTAATATGTTGCATAAAGTTTATTTAAATACGTATTTACATAAAAAGGTCGCAATATGAATTATACTGTTTTTTGAACATATTTATAAGTTGGCTTTACTTTACTTGCATGTACTGTAATCTAGTATATTTATTATTATACTTTAACGCAACATAATTTATATTTTTTAGCGGTTCTTGGTGACAAGACTTGTAATTTTATTTCTTGTATATATTTGAATAAATATTGTAATATAGAACAAAAAAAAAAAAAAAAACTAGAAAAAATTAATTATTATTAATGCTTGGATCAAGAAAAAGGGAGAATTATTTAATATCACAATGGGGGTCTTTGATGGCGAATTAGTTAAAATATTCTTTTTGCATCAAATATCGCAGTTCTGCGATAAAAGCAATTTCGGTATATATTAAAATAATGGATTATGTTTAGGAACAAAAATGGTCAAAATTTTGAAAATAACAATTTTATTATTTCTATTAAATGTAATTTGAAAATCAATAACTACCTCGATTTAACACTAAACCTTAACGCTTTACCGCAACCAGATAATATACTATTTATAATATAATATAATTATATACATAAAAGATCTAAGTGTAGATTGTAATAAAAAGTATTCCTAAGACTATTTAATTCAGAATATAACCAGAATCGTAAAGTGAATAAATTTTCAAAGAAAGAGTTCCTCCTTTTTTAAGAAGCCTTGAAAAAGTCAGAGTACAATTGCGAACTTGCATACCATCCAAGTATAAAAACAACAAACGGCAATTATAAACTCAATATAATTTGGTATAACCTTCCTTTCAGTGCAAATGTTGTAACAAAAGCAGGTAAATGTTTTTTGAACCTCATTGACCTCCACTTTCCAGTTAAACACAGACTTCGTAAATTATTTAATAGAAACATATTTAACAAACAATCAAAATAAGTTATTCCTGCATGCCAAACATAAAATCCATTTTTAATTCTCAAAATGAAAACATTTTACATAAAGATGGCAAATATTTATAAAATGAAATGCAATTGCATTGAAAAATCCTAATGTCCAATAAGCAAACATTGCCTTTCCATGAACATTGTTTATCAGGCCACCATCTAATCATACAATCCAGAATATAAAAAAAAGTGTATATTGGACTTTTTGGAAAAACACCTTTTAAAGTTTGCTATGCAAACCAAATTTATATCGTTTTATGCAATTAGATATATGAATGACACAGAAATATCAAAAGAAGTATGAAACTAAAATTAAAAAATATCTAAACTTTTAATCATATAGAATATTGTTAAAAAATGCAAACCATACAGCCCAGCATGAGTTGTATGAACTGTATTGAGTTCTTGTTCAACCAGAGTTCGCAACCTCTGTATGAAAAAGATTTTCAAGTTTCAAACTTTTATTTTAAAGAAAACAACCAACTAAATTTAAGGAATAAAATAATCTCTTAATAAAGGCACAAAAATAAGTTCTTTATTTCCTCATTTATAACAAAGATTAACCCTAGTTGGTTTATGTCAAGTTTACGTCACATTATACTTCATAACTTTAAGGATTTTGTTTCAATATAGTCATTAGAACTCAGGCCGGCGTAATTTTAATTGTGATTTTAACGTGAAATTTTAAATTTTGTAAAATATGGCTGAAGATTGCCATTAAATTTAAAACATAAAATAACATAATAAAAAATTTTTCTTTTTCATTTTTAATTATATGTATATATAAATATATATATAAACAAATATATATATATATATATATATATATATATATATATATATATATATATATATATATATATATATATATATATATATATACTACTAGTGCTTAATTTACGGGTCCTTTTCTTTTTTTCCCCGTTAATCACAATTTTTATTTCCCTATTTTTAATATATTTTTCATAAATGTTATTTTTTTTATATTTTTATTTTATGTCAATTTATATTTATTCATTTTAAAATTTCTAATTTAAGTAAAAAAACTTATTTTTTATAAATAATTTTATTATTTTTATTTAATTATTATCTATTATATTTATTTTTATATATATACTTACAAAAACAATTATTTACATTAAAATAACTAACCCTAACCCTAACCCTACCCCTTAACCTGATCTAGCTCCCTGGCCAAACCAAACCCTCAGCCAATGTAGCAGCACTCCCTTGTGGGTCAGGCTATTGTCAGTCGACGTATGTACTTTTCGCTTTCCATAAAAACTATATACGGGGACATTTTTTTCAAAAAAAAAAGCAACTTACGAGAACAAAAAATTATTAAGGACACTAAAATGTCCCTAATACTGCTAATGTCCTAGTAAGTATCAATTTTAATGTAAAATCTGTTCTTAAACATGCTACTATATGGATATATATATATATATATATATATATATATATATATATATATATATATATCACTAAAATGCCCCCATTACTGCTAATGTCCTAGTAAGTATCAATTTTAATGTAAAATCTGTTCTTAAACATGCTACTATATGGATATATATATATATATATATATATATATATATATATATATATATATATATATATATATATATATATATATATATATATATATATATATATAAATATATATATATATATATATATATATATATATATATATATATATATATATATATATATATATATATATATATATATATATATATATATATATATAAATTTTTCTGTTTATATCATAGAATTATTCATTATAATTCATACTATAGTAAATGATTAACATTTCTATTAAACATGATGTTCATAAACTTATTGATTTACTACTTTAAAGTATTTGTATTAGAGTTAGCTGTTGTTAAAATTTAAAGAAGTTATAATTTAAAAAAGAAAATAAAAAAAAATGTTACTATAGCAGTCGATTATTTCAAAGCTGTTACCAAAACACTCATTTATTGGATTTGTCACATTGCAACTTCTTGATCTGTTCATAAATCCGTATGTATCATTACAAACTGACCAATTGCTCCATAATGTCCAGAAAGCTTGAATATAAATAATATATAGATTAAAATGTAAACATGTCACTTTTAAATACTTTTGACCTTTTGAAATAATTCTTCTGCTATGTCTTAAAGCCGAATATATAAAGTCAATTACAAAATGTAAAATTTATAAACGACCATAAAAATGCAAAATTATTTAACTTGAGTGTTTCCTTTTTGATTTATGCAGATTGTTTATACTTTCTGATTGTTTTATACTGTTTTTATAAATTTTTTATGGTTTGACTTTTATTTTTTTTTTGTTTAATTAAACGATTTATTTAGGAGTGGAACAGTGGAATGTAAATACATAAACTGACAGTCTAGGGATATGGTGTGCGTATCCCTAGATTTTCGTTATTTATATATTGCTAAAATAAAAAAGAGTTCAAAAGCATTATAGTGCAGGGGAAGAAACTTTATAAATAAATATTTTAAGAGAAAGATAACATAGATACAGTAAAAAGATACAATTTTCCTGAATGATAAATCAAGCAAGATCAGGTAATAATTGATTGAACTTATAATGATAGCCTTTTTTTTAGAGCTTTAACCAAAATAGTATCTATAGAAAAGAGATATATATGCTTTATTATAATAATGAGAGAGAGACTCAAGATCGGCAGATAAACCAATACATGTATAGTGCGATGTTAGGATTTATCTAGAAGAGAACAAACATCATTAAAAGAGTTAGCTCAAATATCACAACTGTGTTTCATACAAAGACAATTAAGAGAATATGGAATGGAATCAAAAAAGATGAGAATGGAATCAAAAGCAAGATAAAAACAAGCATGAAAAAGAGAAATAAAATTAGCAGATACTAAATGGATTACATATATGTTTCCAAACGCTATTTGTTTATCTTGCTGAATGGTTTTTGTCTTTAAAGTAAAGTCATTTATTTTTATTATTAAAAATTTTTTAAAGTAGGATACATTCGGGTTAAATGAGCTCCTAGGTAACATGAACATAATTAAAAAATTTCAAGATGCTTAGCTTTTTTAGATTTAGCAATCTATTGTATGTATGGTTTTCAATAAGAGTTCAGCTATGAATGATGATCCAAAAAGGTGTAAAGAAAAGGACTCAGTGAGATGGTTGCCATTCGTTAATATATATATATATATATATATATATATATATATATATATATATATATATATATATATATATATATATATATATATATATATATATATATATATATATATATATATACATATATATATATATATATATATATATATATATATATATATATACATATATATATATATATATATATATTGTATATATACACAATATATATATATATATATATATATATACATATATATATATATATATATATTTAAAAACAGTAGACACCCTACTATAAATTTTTTATACTAGCTATAATTAAAAGGATGTATGATTAAGTTACAGGAGTAAATTTAAAACATCAATATAAAAAATACTTTCAAAACCAAGAAAAATAGTCAATATATAAAACATCATACCTAATTCTAATTTATTATCAGAGCACAACTTTGAACACTCAATTGATTTATTCATAACTCCAAAAGACGGATTGAAATTAGACTGATTTTTACATAGCAACCAATCTGCAAAGTTTAGAAGTTTGCATAAAATTAAGAATATATTTCATAAATAAAAAATTATAAAAAATTAATTAAATTTGATAAAAATTGTACTTTGTTTATTCAGTTAAAAAATTCTTATACTTTCTCCATTTTAATCATCCTTTTTTTATATATATATATATATATATATATATATATATATATATATATATATATATATATATATATATATATATATATATATATATATATATATACACATAAAGTAGTAGGATTTAATATTTATAGAAATAAGGGACAGAAAATCACAAGTAGGAATGTAGTGAGCAAGATAAAAAGATTATTTGCAAAATTAGCATCCTTTACAAATGCTAATTTCGCAATTGATTTAATAGATGATTTTTTAGAAAGTAAGAGGTAATCCTAGAAAGCAAAGGTTTAATCACTTATCGAGTACCTTAATATTCACAAATGATAAAAGATCTTTAGAGTTGCTATTAAGACTAGCTGAGACTTTTTTTATCTGACTTAAAGCTCACAAGCCACAGCGTTGGCTTCTTGACAAGTATCTACGAGTACTGTCAGCGAACAACACCAACTTAGATGTAAGAAATTCTAGCAGATCATTAATGTTTATTAAAATAAGTGTATGGCAAAAGACAAAACTTTGAAAAACGTCTATAATTACAGGATATGAAGAAGAGTGCTGATCATTTAGAATGTCAGTTATCCTTTGATTGTAAAAAAAAGATTCAATAGTAATAATGATGTTACTTGATTACATCGTTCGATGTAAGCTTATGAGGAAGACCAGCATGCCAAACCTTATCAAAGGCTTTACAAATGTCGAAAGCGACAACCTCCCCAACCTCCCCCATTTATCAAATGCACAAAAAAACTTATCGGTTATTACTGTTAACAGACGTTAATAGACGGCAGTTAGACAGTGCAGATCATCTTAGAATGGTTTTAAAAATCAACCAGTTTATTGGCTATATCAGGTAGAACGCGACCAGAGGAATCAAGTGATAATATTGATAAGAAGTTATTAGCAACTAGTTGATTTTATTATTAGGTACGGTGATAAAATCTAAATCATTTAAGACAAATCGAATAACAAGTTTCACCATATTACAGATACCGTTAAAGATTCTCAAGTTTCACCATATTACAGATACTGTTTAAGATACTGATAAAAGTGAGGCTTGACCAGAAGCACCTAAGAGTAAATGTGGAGTAACTGAGCAATGACTAGGATCAGAAACATAACTTAAGTTAAAAATAAAAAACAATTACTTTAAATCGTCTAAAATGCAAGTTAGTAAGTTAACTATTTGTGTCAGTGATTGAGAAAGACAAAAGTTGCATTAAAGTCACAAACAACAAAAGTATTGGCTAAAGGACAAATAGAAAGTGTTTAGCCAATTTGATCATAAATACCATTAAAAAGATTGCAAACTTGTAATGAAGGAAAGCGATATATATGAAAAAAAAACGACTAGTGAAATTTTGCCAAACATTATTATGGAAGATAATTATGAAACGTTTTATGGAAGCAGTTTACAGGCGTTCCTGAAGTTTTTTTTTTATCTCAAAAGTGTAATTATAATTGTTACTGATATAAAAAAAATCAAGTCAAAATATTTGTTTAATTGGATGGTAATCTGGCAAGGTCTTTGCAAAAAATAAGTTGTATATCTAAAGAATTCATAATTTAAATGTATATATGTATATATATATTTTATACTTTAAATTATAAATTCTTTAGACATACAACTTTTTTTTTGCAAAGAACTTGCCAGATTACCATCCAATTAAACAAATGTTTTGACTTGATTTTTTTTATATCAGTTACAATTATAATTATACTTTTGAGATTAAAAAAAACTTTAGGAAAACCTGTAAACTGCTTCCATTAAACGTTTCATAATTATCTTCCATAATAATGTTTGGCAAAATTTCACTAGTCGTTTTTTTTTCATATATATCGCTTTCCTTCATTACAAGTTTGCAATCTTTTTAATGGTATTTATGATCAAATTGGCTAAACACTTTCTATTTGTCCTTTAGCCAATACTATTGTTGTTGGTGACTTCAATGCAACTTTTGTCTTTCTCAATCACTAACACAAATAGTTAACTTACCAACTTGCATTTTAGACAATTTAAAGTAATTATTTTCTATTTTTGACTTGAGTTATGTTTCTAATCCTAGTCATTGCTCAGTTACTCCACATTCACTCTTAGGTGCTTCTGATCACAGTTTGAAATTTAAAGCTATTATCTCATTCTTTATCTTTTCTTCCTCTATCATTGTAGCTTTTACAATTACCTTGAAGCCTACTGGGACTCCCTACGATATTTTATTGTGATGGTCCTCGGGTAGAAATTGTTTATCTTTATGTTTACAAAAATGCTTATAAGGTAATTTCTTGGATTCAGGCTTGCATGGTATATTTGTTTCCCTCTCGAAAATTCCAAGTCAGCCCTCACTTTTATCCATTGCTTTCCTCTCATTATGCTGCTACAATTTTTATTCGTAACCTTAAATTTTATTTCTCTCAGCAAATTAACGTCTACTCCTTAGAAAAATCTCTAAAAAACAGCAACTGTTTACCGGAAAAAGTAGTAGGAGAAATTTGGCTAACATCAAAACCTAAATAATCGTGTGTCACAAAACTTCATATTTAAAAAAAAAAATGGATCTCGTGACTTCTAGAGAATCTTTAACAGTATCTGTAATATGGTGAAACTTGTTATTCAATCTGTCTTAAATGATTTATATTTTATCACCTAACCTAAGAACAAGCTAAACTTGTTACTTATAACTTATTATCAATATCATCTCTTGATTCCTCTGGTCGCGTTCTACTTGATATAGCCAACAAACTGGTTGATTTTTAAAACCTTTCTAAGATAATCTGACTCTTCTAACTACCGTCTATTAACATCTGTTAACGGTAATAACCTATAAGTTTTTTTTTGCATTTGATAGATGGCGAAAGGTTGGAGAGGTTATCGCTTTCATAATCTTTATGGTAACTTTTTAGATCTTTCATCATTTATGAATATTAATGTACTCGATGAGTCATGAAAACTTCGCTTTCTAGGATTAACTCTTACTTTCCATCTTTTCTAGAAAACCATATATCAAATCAATTGCGAAATTAGCTTTTGCTAAGGATGCTAACTTTGCAATTAATCTCTTAATCGTGCTCACTACTTTCCTACTCATGATTTTATTCTTTATCTCTATAAATCTTAAATCTGTATTTGTATATAATCCTTTTGCCATATTGGGAATGGATTCTCCAATGATGCCGTTTTTGTTCTAGTAAAGCTGCAAAAATGCATTTTAAACATAGTTGGACCTGCTCTTGCAGCCAACCTTTAAACATCATATTTTTGCAATAAAATATTAATGAAATGTCAAAATCATAAAATTGAAAAATTGTTTTTTTATAGTTCCAAAACAAATTTTTTTTTTGAACGGTAACATTTAATGTAAATGTAACTGAACTGTATTAGTAACTCTGCGAGGGTTCATGTAGTCTGTAATATAAATTATGTACTATTTTTTAGATATTACTAAGAAAAATGACAGTAACTAAAGTATTAAATTAGGTTTATAAAGTTTAAAACATCAAAACAGTTTTCAAGTTACTATGTTTGGGCTTTTTGCGGCAGTATAAATTAGTATATGCAATGCTACTTTTTTTAACTAAAAATTTCCATAACAAAATTTCTGATGCAAATTTTCATTAAAAATATTTACAACATTTCTTTTCCTAGTGAATCCAATTTATAAAACTTTTGCTTTACACTTATTTCATTAACAAACATATTACCTTGATTTATGATTTTAAGATTTTTAATATAACCAGTTTGCACATCATTAATGGGATCTGAAACAAAAACTCTAACATTTGAAAATTCTTTTGCATCTTGATTTGTCAAATTTACAATTATTTGACCATTAATTTCAATAGAGTATGTGTATCTTCCTTCCAAAAACATTTGAGTTGTTTTAATTGAGGACCAATAACCAAGCTGTATAGGAGTTGTTGTTATATTAAATTCAGTTTTATTTAAGTTAAAACATATTTGCAAAGATCCATTAACTTGATTTAGATAAATTGATAGAATTTTACAATTGTTGCACATATCTGTACCATTAGTTAAACTAATAACACTTTTTTTCACAATAGATTTATTTAAAGTTATTGGTTTGATTTCGAAATACACTTAATATTCTTTAAATAGCGTCAATAACATTGTAATCAATTTCCCCTTCGACAAAAAAATTGCTTTTTCCATTGAAAGGATTGCTATAATATTAATTATATTTAAAATATAACTTTTAAATGTTTTAAAAAGTCAAAAGTTTAAGAAAGCTACAAAAAGACATAAGTTGTTTATTAAATAATTATATAAAAAAGTATAAAAATACATATATAAATAACGTATACCTTAACAATAAAAATAAAATATTTTGCAATCATTTTTTATCTAAAAGTATAAGATATGCTTGACAAAAACTTGTAATGGCAAAAATCCCAGACATTTTGAATACTGGGATTTTCGAATTAAGTTATTTTTTCATGAAAAGTTACGAGAAATCTTGGTATTGAATTGAAGAAATGTAAAAATTAAAGCTTAAAAAGAAGTAAACTTTTAAGTACTCATAAAACAATTAAAAATGAACAATTAAATAATAATATAAACTTAACAATAATATAACTGATATACTTTATAAATTAATGAACCCAACTAATTCAAAATAAAAAAAAAATACCTTTAAATGATAACAGTAAAAATACAAGTATTAAATAAAAGTAATAAAAATATACATGAATATGCACAAGTTATACTTATTTTTGAAAATACTACTCTAAAATGTCAATTCGTCAATTACTACATTGCTTTATTATATTCGATTTTTTGAAAATAATAACCCAGCGGCTTGAAAATAAAAACCCAGCGACTTCACATTTATTGGCCGCATGTAATCATGTTTTTTTTAAAGGTAATCATGAAATATATCTATATATGAAATTGGTACATCTTGAAGTACCAATTTCATATAGCAGCATTTTATTAAAAATTTTAAAAATTATATTTACTATCATATAAGTTGTGTTCAAATTACTGTCAATTGTTGACTAATTGTCAAGACATTATTATTACATTTGTCGATTGAAATAGGCTGGTTCAACTGAACACAATTATCATATATAAATATATATATATATATATATATATATATATATATATATATATATATATATATATATATATATATATATATATATATATATATATATATATATATATATATGTATATATATATATATATATATATATATATATATATATATATAAATATATATATATATATATATATATATATATATATATATATATATATATATATATATATATATATATATATATATATATATGTATATATATATATATATATATATACATATATATGTATGCATATATATATATATATATATATATATATATATATATATATATATATATATATATATATATGTATATATATATATATATATACATATATATGTATGCATATATATATATATATATATATATATATATATATATATATATATATATATATATATATATATATATATATTCATTAATTATGCATAAATTCATTAATAAAGCAGTGTCACTTAGTAAAACCTTAATAGTAGTAATATTATTATTTTTTGTAGTGACAATATTACTAATAATAATTTTATTACTACAAAATACAGTTATACTAAGTTTTGTAAAGTGGTAATATTTATAATTTGAGTTACATTATAAATATTATAGCTTAAATTTTAATTTGTAGTATAAGGTTTTATATGAAAAATATTTAAATAATTTATATTGCGAATTATTTGTAAAGAATAGTAACTATTAATTAAAATGATTAACTGCCTATTAACTACGAAAAATGGGTCCCAGCTGGGATGTAACTGACTGGATTACTGGAACTGAGTTATGGCTGGGATTTGAACTAGGTAAAAGATGGGTCCCATATTGTGCAACAATTAAGGAAAAAATTATGCTTTAAAGTATGATAAAATCTTATAAAATGACATATACAGTAACACAACTTGATTTGGATTGAATACACACTTTCATTTGGAGTAAACAGGAACTTAATTTGATTCATTTTTAGTATTTTTTTAAAAATTATTATATACATATTTGTTTTAATTCTATAATAAAAGTATAAATATTTTAATAACAATATTTAGACATTTAACAAACAATTTTACAAAAAAAAAAAGGAAAAAAGTTTTACTAAGTAACAATGCCATATCTAAACTTAGCATATTATTTGTAAGTACATAAATGTTTTATATTTTCTTTAAGTTATATAATTAATAATATATGGTACTGTAACTGATATTACAAGTTTTAGTATAAGATTTTATGCGAAAAACTTTCAAAAATTGTTAGGTGTTTTAACGTTTAACTTTATTTTTCTGTAATAATAAAAAATTGTCATATTTTGTTTTAATATATTTTTTTATTAAAAACAATTTTTAAATTCTTTAAAATATAAGAGTGTATATACTTTGAAAGCATTATTCAAATAATTGTTTAAGAAAAAATTTGGCTAGTCTAAAAAAGGGAAATGTTGGTTTTTAAGATGTTTTTAATTAATTTTCACCGGATTTTATATAGTTTTTTTATAATATTTTGTAATATAAATTAAATATACAATCATAAAATGCTACTCAAGTGCAATGTAAAATTAAAAATGTAGTTTTGAAACGAAATATTGCAAATACTGAATGTTTGAATAATCATGAATGTTTTTTATTTTTCACTTGCTGTAGTAAGTTATTTTCAATGTGTTACTATAAGATATATAGTCATATATAATATGTTTATTTTCAAAGTTATACGAAAAGTATCAAATTTTTTTCGGTAATAGATTTTTTATTTGTGTTATTTTATATAAAACATTATTAAATTTTAAGTTTTAATAAAACTTTATTTAATTTATTTATAAGGTTCATTAGTATCTATGTTTTGTTTTTAGAGTAGGTTTGTGTTAATATATGATAAACAACATAAAATACATTACTTCAACAAATGTAACTTTTTTACACATAAAAGTTAGGTAAAATCTCCTATGAAATGATTCATTTAAATCTAGTAAGTTTACACTTAATCTGACAACATTATTTTGAAAATTTTTTTTTCAGAAAGTTTTTGAAAGTCTTACTTTCCCCAAATTTTAATATAACAAAGTATAAGTTTACAGAGTTGTACATAATAAATAAGATAATTTCTGTATATTCAAAATATATAGAAATTCAAAATATATAGAATTGCAAAATATACAGATTATTCTTAATACTAATCTGAGCTTCTGTGAATAGATAATTTTTGTGAATAGAAGATGGAATGTGATTTGCTAGGAAATATGAATGTTATTGTAATAGCACATATTTTTAGATCAAAATAGTTTATTTTACATTATTATCATTCTAAGTTTATGAATAAAGATGATAAAAAATTTTTTAAAAATTACATGTACAATAGTGTGACATGATTTGGAATGAATATACATTTGAAGGATTATTTACATAAACTTCATTTGATACCTCAATGGTAGTTTCTTTTTTTTTTCATAATTATCTGTTGATTAGTAAAGTAATATTTACTAGTAATATTTATATATGGTAAAGCGTGTATGTTATTCTTGCAATATGATTTCAATAGTCAATTTTTTAATAGTTTAATGGCAGCATGAATTATTATCAATACTTGCTGCATTTGTCACAATTTAGTAAAATTTAAAAGTTATCTATGTAAAATAATTTTTTAAACCAATTTATTAGCGTGTTATGTACTTTTTTGAATCTGCTGTGAAATAAATTTAATTTATAATCACAAAATGTAGCTCAAAGAAAACATAAAATTAAACAATAAATTTTGGTCCAGGATAATTGAAACACGTTTTGTTTGACTATTCATGAATATAACTATTACATATATATATATATATATATATATATATATATATATATATATATATATATATATTATATATATATATATATATATATATATATATACATATATATATATAAATATATATATATATATATATAATATATATATATATATATATATATATATATATATATATATATATATATATATATATATATATATATATACATATATATATATAAATATATATATATATATATATATATATATATATATATATATATATATATATATATATATATATATATATATATATATATATATATATAAATATATATATATATATATATATATATATATTATATATATATATATATATATATATATATATATGTATATATATATATATATATATATATATATATATATATATATATATATATATATATATATATATAAGTACTCTACTTTTGTTCATAATTGTAAATTTTGTTGTGAAAATATTATTAAACCAAAATTTATTGTAGTCAAATCAATAAATTTCTGTCCTTTTTTCATTATGTTCAAATTGTAAAAAATAGTTATTTTTAAGTGAAAAAAGTAGCCTAAAAAGAATATTGTTTAGTTTGATATAATAAAAATGTTAGTCATTTTGATTATTTTTGCATTTATTAAATTATATAAAAGGTATTAAACCCTCACCAACTAATTTGAGGGTTTGATATTATCTTAATTTGAGTCAAGACTTTAAATTTTATATAGTAACATAGTTGTCATGTTATTATTGTTGTTTACAAGTCTATTTATGTCATGCCTAATTAGTAACATCAAACATTTACCGTGAAATGATTTTTTTTTAAATTCCCTAAAGGATACCATTTACAAAAAAAAACTGAAGAAACTTTAAAACTAGATGATGGCAACTGAAGAAGTTGAAACACTGTTATTCGTGGGGTCATATCAAGGCTTTAGTTCTCCAGTATTTATTTTTGTATTTAATTATTTTATGTTATGTTTATTTTATTTTTTTATTTTTACAATTTTTGTAACAACAATGTATAAGTATGATTAATTTTCCTGCTCTCGGCATTTACTTTAATCTGGCTATGGTTATCTCAAATACAACGCATATTTCAGTTAACATACTGTATTAAGATAACTTGTGATTTGAACGTGTATTTTTGTTTGCTTAGTGTTTGTTAGTTATATGCAAGATATGGCATGGTATGACACACTAGATGGTATGCCCTAAATAATATTATTAAAAAATATTTTATTATCAATCTATACTTTGTAAATATATATGCTATACTTTATTATATTGTTCAAATGTTTATTTTTGACTTATAATTTATTTGTGTAAAAGAGGATGAAAGCACTAAAGAAAACAATAATGTTAAACTTTAGAGCAGAATTTTGTCATGCGTTTATGGTAGCGTAATGAGAAAACTAATGTGGCAGAATATTACTATCGTTAAAAAGTTTTGCACCAATTAATTGTATAATAATAGTTTTTTGTTGCTTAAAAATATGATGAATTTAAAATTTGTCTATTTAATCTATTTGTAGAAATTATGTCAGACCAAACATTCATCTGGCTAATACATTTTATTGACCTGACAGCAAATTTAATATAGATAATTAAAACTAGTTGTTTTAATTTTATATAAAATATACTATGTTTTTTATTCAAAAAAATGTGACACTATTATGCGAATTTGAGATACAAAAAATCTGGAAAAAAAAACACCATAAAAAATTGACTGCGAAAAACACACTATGAAGAATTAACTCGCGGTAAAAAAAAATATCTTGGTCCAATACAGGATTTCCCGTCAAAAACCCAGACTAATCCCAGATTAGACCCAGTTGGATGCCACTGTCAGATTCGAAATCGGACCATTTGGGATACCCAAATGGGTCCCAGCTTTTTTCCTAGTTTTTCTTTTTTTAGATATGACGCATTTTTTCATCCTTATTGGTTTTAAAATCATACTGTTTATCAATTGTAAATCTTGAATTTATAAATGCTTGCCATAAATCTAATTTCACCTAAGAAATAAAAAGAACAGTGTTTTCGAAACTTGGCTTGACTTTATATAATGTTTTACGAACTTCAAATTACACTACTCCATGTGAGCCGTATACACTATTTAGAATTGATAGACTAGGATGCTGTGCCTATATGATCAACTTTGAGTATTTCTGTAACTTTTGTCTTGATACAAAAAAAAGCAAAACTCATAAAATAAATGAATTTTTTTATTTTTTAAAAAACATTGAGAAACAATTTACTATTAGTTTATCGATATACATATATATATATATATATATATATATATATATATATATATATATATATATATATATATATATATATATATATATATATATATTATATACATACATATATATATATATATATATATATATATATATATATATATATATATATATATATATATATATATATATATATATATATATTTATATATATTTATTTATATATATATATATATATATATATATAAATGTATATATTTATATATATATATATATATATATATATATATATATATATATATATATATGTATGTATGTATATAAATATATATATATATATATATATATATATATAATATATATATATATATATATATATATATATTATATATAAATATATATATAAATACATATATATATATTTATATATACATATATATATATATATATATATATATATATATATATATATATATATATATATATATATATATATATATATTTATATATATATATATATATATATATATATATATATATATATATATATATATATATATATATATATATATATATATATATATATATATATATATTTATATATATATATATATATATATATATTAGGGGTAGTCATTTTTAGGGAATTTTTGAAATCGAAGTACATACCCAGCTAAAGTTGGAGCAAATATGCTAAAACTTTGTCAAAATTTTTTTTAAGTCAATCGGGTGACTTTTAAGTCCCCTCAAGACTAAAGTTGTTAAGAAATTGTACTTCAAAAAAGGAAAAATAGGGTGTGTTTATGGTGTTCGAGGGGAATTGAAATGAAAAAATTATTTTAATTTTTTTTTTTTTTTTTTTTGTTATTTGATATCTATATTTTCATTTTAAAAGGGTATGTCATCATGTTTTTTACATATTCTTGGTTAAAACGATATTTAAGAAATCAAAAAATGTAAAGTTTAATTTACGCAAGTGGTTATGAATTAAGTAAATTATGTATTTTCATACTTAAAGTTCATTCAGATGGACAGACGTAAAAATTCCCGCTTAAATCAACCAAAAAAACAAACTATTTTGAGCTAAACAAGTAATTTACCATTTAATTAGAATCTTTACAAATACTATCAAGACAAAAATTATGCATTAATTGAAATAAGTATTTTAAAATGAATAACAATTTCCTAAGTCTACAATTTCCTTTTCTTTAATTTAGAGAGTGACATCAGGCTTTCTGATAGTTTTTTTTTTTGAATTATTACTTTTTCCCACACCAAAAACCATGAAAGTTGACCTTACTTTGTCGACAGTTAAAAGTCTGTTCTGCTTGTCATCCTCATTTTCGAATCTTTGTACAAACTGCTGCATCATTCCGATTGCTCGTTCAGAATGATCATTGACAACAATTATCATTTTGGCAAAGTTTTCAAAATTCTTAAACGAGGACTGGGTGTGCCAATATTGGGGTGGAAATGACAACCAGTCTCTCACTCTCTGATTATCCAACCCTATCATTGAAAAACATAAATATGAAAACTCATTAACCAAAAGAGAGAGGGTTGGTGCCTTCATATTATTTATGATATTAATCTCGTCTATTCGATCTTTGCTTCTATGTTTAAAAAAATCTGGATCTGGCATTTGGAAGGAAAGCAAAGCATCTTCAATGGCTGTTTTTTTATCCATAGAAATATTTTTATCCAAAAGAGCCAAGGGAATAATCGTTGAATCAAGATACCGTGTATGCTTATAAAGAGATGCTAACACTGCGTCTACTGCCTCCGGATTGGAGCAAACTTTCTTATACTCTTTCATCTGAAAGATTGCATCAAGATCAGACGCAGGAGATTGAATTGCTTTATGTGCTTGAAGGTACCACCTTGTGTAAAACCATACTATGAACTTGCAGATGAGTTTTAAATCTTCGCGTAGATTATCATTTTCTTGCACCAATGTCAGTTGCTTGCACAAAAGCTGAAGTTTAAGGTAGTATAAACTCTTGCCTAAAAACCTAGCATGATGAACAGCTCCAGTTTTCTTTAATTTGAAATATACAGAAGGGGATAAATACTGCATGGTTAGCTCAGCCAACTCTCTTCGGTCATTCCTCATATTTCATTTTTTAGTAATATAGGTCTCACATTAATCTAAAGTTTTCCTTGCAGCTTCCTTCAAAACTGTTCCTTCCACGGTTTTCCAATCAAGAGAGGTCAGGTTATTTTCGTCGTATTTGAAGTTAGGTTTCTCAAACATATGTTTAAACTTTACGAATAAAGGATTTTCAGGCCCTACGCTATTCTCTTTTATCACTGCTTCACAGAAATGAACCATTCTAAGTTCAATGATATGATGCCTACATGCTAGTAGAAGAAGGTATTTGTCAACCTCTCTTGCAATCCTAGTAAGTGATTCTTTCTTAAAACCAGTATTACTTGAAGTTGTATCAAAGCATACTCCGCATTTTTTTGAAATGAGGTCATATTCTTCTAGTATTTTCATGATTCCTATATACATATTTTCACCTGAAGAAGACGGCAAGGCAGGTACTCCAAGAAGATGCGACACCCCCTCAATATTAACGAGCACAGCTAATCTTTCATTCTTCAGTCTTTTTTTCTGATTTATTTCAAACAAAGTCTTTCCGTCAAAATGAATTATACAGGGATAACGGCTTTTTTCCACGGCCTTCTTTATATCTAATTTAGCAATTTCAGCAGTATCCTTGGCAGTTTTTTTCATCTTCTATAATGCTGTTGAAGCACTGGCTTTGCATTATGCAATATCAACTCCACAATCTTGAAGAATTGCTCCAGTTACTTTTTTTAAGACATTGGGGGAGATATCATTTGCTGTAGCTATGATAGATACATTTTCCATCAAAAAATTTCTTAGGGACTTTGGCAGTAATGTTGCAATCATCTGCTCTTCTATGATGCCAAACTTTGGGTTCAAATTCTGAATCAGAATCAGCGCTAGTGTCAGTGAAACTTAAGTCTAATTCTGAGGTAGCATCAATCTTAGGAGATTCGTCTTCTAGCCTTGTCCTCTTCCTCACACCTTCAGAAACCTAAAATTTGTTTTAACATAGTGTATGTGTATTAACAAATAATGTATGTTAAATTAGCAAATTTGAATAAAAAACGTCAAATTAACCCTATAAAAACAACACAAAACCTTTTTGCTAAATTTTCTATTTTCTGATCCCAAACTAAAATATCTCGGTCCTTCCTGGTCTTCCAAAAAAGTTAAATCATCGTTCTTATCTTTATCTGAGCGTTTTTTATCCTTCCTAATTTGGTTCTTTAAATCTGTAGAACCAATCCAAAACAGCTTTTTCAAAAATGAAATAAACTCCCCTTGAT